ATGTGCAAAACCTCGACTTGTTTATGCTGCTTCTAAATAAGCATGATATATAGGAAGTAAATATATGAATTACAAGAATATATTTCTCCACCCGTTGCCTGGAGAATATATTTTATCAGTCCCATCAAATGTCTTCACCAAGTAATTACCCATTATATGGAGTAGTAACAGGGTGTGGTCGTCCCTACTGCTGTGGAGTAGGAAGGTGTGGTCGTCTCTACTGCTGTGGAGTAGGAAGGTGTGGTCGTCCCTACTGCTGTGGAGTAGGAAGGTGTGGTCGTCCCTACTGCTGTGGAGTAGGAAGGTGTGGTCGTCCCTACTGCTGTGGAGTAGGAAGGTGTGGTCGTCCCTACTGCTGTGGAGTAGGAAGGTGTGGTCGTCCCTACTGCTGTGGAGTAGGAAGGTGTGGTCGTCCCTACTGCTGTGGAGTAGGAAGGTGTGGTCGTCCCTACTGCTGTGGAGTAGGAAGGTGTGGTCGTCCCTACTGCTGTGGAGTAGGAAGGTGTGGTCGTCCCTACTGCTGTGGAGTAGGAAGGTGTGGTCGTCCCTACTGCTGTGGAGTAGGAAGGTGTGGTCGTCCCTACTGCTGTGGAGTAGGAAGGTGTGGTCGTCCCTACTGCTGTGGAGTAGGAAGGTGTGGTCGTCCCTACTGCTGTGGAGTAGGAAGGTGTGGTCGTCCCTACTGCTGTGGAGTAGGAAGGTGTGGTCGTCCCTACTGCTGTGGAGTAGGAAGGTGTGGTCGTCCCTACTGCTGTGGAGTAGGAAGGTGTGGTCGTCCCTACTGCTGTGGAGTAGGAAGGTGTGGTCGTCCCTACTGCTGTGGAGTAGGAAGGTGTGGTCGTCCCTACTGCTGTGGAGTAGGAAGGTGTGGTCGTCCCTACTGCTGTGGAGTAGGAAGGTGTGGTCGTCCCTACTGCTGTGGAGTAGGAAGGTGTGGTCGTCCCTACTGCTGTGGAGTAGGAAGGTGTGGTCGTCCCTACTGCTGTGGAGTAGGAAGGTGTGGTCGTCCCTACTGCTGTGGAGTAGGAAGGTGTGGTCGTCCCTACTGCTGTGGAGTAGGAAGGTGTGGTCGTCCCTACTGCTGTGGAGTAGGAAGGTGTGGTCGTCCCTACTGCTGTGGAGTAGGAAGGTGTGGTCGTCCCTACTGCTGTGGAGTAGGAAGGTGTGGTCGTCCCTACTGCTGTGGAGTAGGAAGGTGTGGTCGTCCCTACTGCTGTGGAGTAGGAAGGTGTGGTCGTCCCTACTGCTGTGGAGTAGGAAGGGTGTGGTCGTCCCTACTGCTGTGGAGTAGGAAGGTGTGGTCGTCCCTACTGCTGTGGAGTAGGAAGGTGTGGTCGTCCCTACTGCTGTGGAGTAGGAAGGTGTGGTCGTCCCTACTGCTGTGGAGTAGGAAGGTGTGGTCGTCCCTACTGCTGTGGAGTAGGAAGGTGTGGTCGTCCCTACTGCTGTGGAGTAGGAAGGTGTGGTCGTCCCTACTGCTGTGGAGTAGGAAGGTGTGGTCGTCCCTACTGCTGTGGAGTAGGAAGGTGTGGTCGTCCCTACTGCTGTGGAGTAGGAAGGTGTGGTCGTCACTACTGCTGTGGAGCAGGAAGGTGTGGTCGTCCTTACTGCTGTGGAGTAGGAAGGTGTGGTCGTCCCTACTGCTGTGGAGTAGGAAGGTGTGGTCGTCCCTACTGCTGTGGAGTAGGAAGGTGTGGTCGTCCCTACTGCTGTGGAGTAGGAAGGTGTGGTCGTCACTACTGCTGTGGAGTAGGAAGGTGTGGTCGTCCCTACTGATGTGGAGTAGTAACAACGTGTGGTCGTCCTTACTGATGTGGAGTAGGAAGGTGTGGTCGTTCCTGCTACTGTGGAGTAGGAAGGTGTGGTCGTCCCTACTGCTGTGGAGTAGTAACAAGGTGTGGTCGTCCCTATTGATATGGAGTAGTAACAAGGTGTGGTCGTCCATATTAATATGGAATAGTAACAAGGTGTGGTCGTCCATATTAATATGGAGTAGTAACAAGGTGTGGTCGTCTCTATTGATATGGAGTAGTAACAAGGTGGGGTCGTCCTTACTCTCTGACATAGAGTAGTAACAAGGTGTGGTCGTCCCTATTAATGTGGAGTAGTAAGAAGGTGCGGTCGTCCCTATTAATATAGAGTAGTAACAAGGTGTGGTCGTCCCTATTAATATAGAGTAGTAACAAGGTGTGGTCGTCCCTATTAATATAGAGTAGTAACAAGGTGTGGTCGTCCCTATTAATATAGAGTAGTAACAAGGTGTGGTCGTCCCTATTAATATAGAGTAGTAACAAGGTGTGGTTGTCCCTATTTATATAGAGTAGTACCAAGGTGTGGTCGTCCCTATTAATATAGAGTAGTAACAAGGCGTGGTCGTCCCTATTAATATGGAGTAGTAACAAGGTGTGGTCGTCCCTATTAATGTGGAGTAGTAAGAAGGTGTGGTCGTCCCTATTAATATAGAGTAGTAACAAGGTGTGGTCGTCCCTATTAATATAGAGTAGTAACAAGGTGTGGTCGTCCCTATTAATATAGAGTTGTAACAAGGTGTGGTCGTCCCTATTAATATGGAGTAGTAACAAGGTGTGGTCGTCCCTATTAATGTGGAGTAGTAAGAAGGTGTGGTCGTCCCTATTAATATAGAGTAGTAACAAGGTGTGGTCGTCCCTATTAATATAGAGTAGTAACAAGGTGTGGTCGTCCCTATTAATATAGAGTTGTAACAAGGTGTGGTCGTCCCTATTAATATGGAGTAGTAACAAGGTGTGGTCGTCCCTATTAATATAGAGCAGTAACAAGGTGTGGTCGTCTCTATTTGCCGTTTTTATGAAGCTGGAGATGAACTGTTACATAAACTCTACCAAGCTATGTCTTCGCTAGAGTATACGTTAATTAACCTGTGTTTCTGTGGTTTTTCACCATGCCCATTTTATGTTAACACTTCAACAATTTAAATTGAATTAAATTGTATAAATATAGGTCTTTAACCTCTTATTATTTCAATTCTAAAAGAATATTTTTATATATTTCAAGAATTCACAATTTTTCCTCCAAATGTTTTCTCATCAAACATTTACTGACACGTTACTGACCCTTCAACTGTACTTGAAAAAGTTGTCCTGGAAACATGTGTCCTTAAAATTATGCAGAAATTTCCTGAAAATTGCTTTATCTTAAGTAATGTTAAATTAACAGTCGACACGAATTGTCCAGGATAGCCAGGAATAACCCATTCCTTCTCTAAGTTGACTTCCACATCTTATCAGGACTAATTAATGAGAATAATCATATAACAATAAAATATTGTGAAAATACTAGTAACACCTGCTTTTTCCACCCAATCTTTCCCTCCGCACTTAGAAGAGTTAGGGGTGACATGATAGAGGTTTACAAGTGGGTGAATGGACATAACAAAGGGGATATTAATAGGGTATTAAAAGTATCAACACAAGACAGAACACGAAACAATGGGTATAAATTGGATAGGTTTAGATTTAGGAAAGACTTGGGTAAATACTGGTTCAGTAACAGGGTTGTTGATTTGTGGAACCAATTGCCGCGTAACATTGTGGAGGTGGGGTTCCTCGATTGTTTCAAGCATGGGTTGGACATGTATATGAGTGGGATTGGGTGGTTATAAATAGGAGCTGCCTCGTATGGGCCAACAGGCCTTCTGCAGTTGCCTTTGTTCTTATGTTCTTATGTACAACAAAACTTGAGTTTTACATCCATTTTCAGTTATGGTGTTCCATACACTAAGAACACCCTAATGATCCCTCCCGGGCCACGTAGCCAAGCTTCTCTTCCTCTCACAGCAGCAACATTCACTATTCATGAGCTTAACTAGAGAGTCACCAGCTACTGAAATATTCATACTTTGTCTCTTTGTTCCGTTCCTTCTCTTTCCTTTGCTGCTTACTGCATCTACACAACATTTATCCTGTAGTATTCAAAAGAAATTTTAAATTTGCTACTCAAGGAGAACGTAGTTCCCACAGTTTTGCTTTGCTTCTGTCCATATAATAGCATAATTTCGCTTTAAAGCAGCATCGCAGTGCCATTGTTACCCTCAAACTCAACAACCACAAAGTCAGCACAATTTTCCATGTATTTAACTTCCTTTGTAACCGTCCTTCGGTCACAGTTTTATAACATTAAACTTTTCGATGTTATTTCACTTTTGTCATCAAAGCTGAACACAGACCAAGCAATTCCTCCAGCAACTGAAGGACGGAGAGGAGGTGAGGAGAGAGAGTAATACATGGAAAATAGAGAATATATATATATTGATATTACGAGTGGAGAGTGAGAGACTGAGTGTTACAGGAGGCATGACAATCTAATAAGGAGAGAGGAGACTTGTCACAATAAAGAGACTGAAGAAAGAGAAGATAGTCACAATAAGCTAGGGAGATATAGGGTGGTGAGAGTGAAACTGAAGCTAGAGATTAAGATGAGAAAAATATGAGAGCTGGAGAGAATAATGAGCGAAGGAGTGCAAGTAGGAGTGTCACCCACCACAGAGACCATCGTCTATGGGTGAGAAGACGGTGACCAGGAGCCAGTGAACGTTAGTAGTGAACCAGGAGGTGGTCTATAGAGCGTACATTATCTGACGCAGGTGTTACGGGGGTGTAACTTTACTAACTGGACGATAGTTTGGTACAGAGTACCTCGCCTGACTGGAGTACCTTGCCTGACTGGCGTACCTCCTTGACTGGAGTACCTCGCCTGACTGGCGTACCTCCTTGACTGGAGTACCTCGCCTGACTGGAGTATATGGCCTGACTGGAGTACCTCGCCTGACTGGCGTACCTCGCCTGACTGGCGTACCTCGCCTGACTGGCGTACCTCGCCTGACTGGAGTACCTCGCCTGACTGGTGTACATGGCCTGACTGGAGTACATGGTCTGACTGGAGGACATGGCCTGACTGGAGTACCTCGCCTACCTGGAGTACATGGCCTGACTGGAGGACATGGCCTGACTGGAGTACCTCGCCTACCTGGAGTACATGGTCTGACTGGAGTACATGGTCTGACTGGAGTACATGGTCTGACTGGAGGACATGGCCTGACTGGAGGACATGGCCTGACTGGAGGACGAGGCCTGACTGGAGGACATGGTCTGACTGGAGGACATGGCCAGACTGGAGGACATGGCCAGACTGGAGGACATGGTCTGACTGGAGGACATGGTCTGACTGGAGGACGAGGCCTGACTGGAGGACATGGTCTGACTGGAGGACATGGCCTGACTGGAGGACATGGCCTGACTGGAGGACATGGTCTGACTGGAGGACATGGCCTGACTGGAGGACATGGCCTGACTGGAGGACATGGCCTGACTGGAGGACATGGCCTGACTGGAGGACATGGCCTGACTGGAGGACATGGCCTGACTGGAGGACATGGCCTGACTGGAGGGCATGGTCTGACTGGAGGACATGGCCTGACTGGAGTACATGGCTTGACTGGAGTACATGGCCTGACTGGAGGACATGGTCTGACTGGAGGACATGGCCTGACTGGAGTACATGGCCTGACTGCAGTACATGGCCTGACTGCAGTACATGGCCTGACTGGAGTACATGGCCTGACTGGAGGATATGGCCTGACTGGAGTACATGGCATGACTGGAGTACATGGCATGACTGGAGTACATGGCATGACTGGAGGACATGGCATGACTGGACTACATGGCATGACTGGAGTACATGGCATGACTGGAGGACATGGCCTAACTGGAGTACATGGCCTGACTGGAGGACATGGCCTGACTGGAGTACTGTCATGGAGAGACTGGAGTCTCTCGCCAGTCACTCTTCCACTCCCTCCCATTCACCACAATTATCAAGCAAACATTTTTCGTTTTCTTCTCACTGTCTCTCTGAACCTCGACAGCAGACTGGCAAAAGAAAAAACAAAAAACAGGTAACCAAATATAAACATTTGTATACTGCCCAAAACTCATATCTTTTTGGAGAAGGAGCCTTCAGGGCCTGAACGTACATACACCATGGACCTCCAATTCTTGCTACATTTGGCCTGAAACCACCATTCAGCGGTTTCAGGCTAAAACTAGTTTTTTTTTGTTAACATTAATGTCGAAAGATTTGTGAATCCTTAAAGATATTGAAGTTGTTATAACTAGTTCAAGTAGTTAAAACTAGTTCAAGTAATTAAGAGTAGAAATAACAAGTTCACGTAGTTATAGGTCTGTTGAAACAAAATTGGGAATATCTTCAGATTACTTTATTGAGTTTATGAATGGGGACCATTTATTGTTGGGCCTTTATAGCACTGAAGACCACGACTATCTACCACGCTATCATCACCTTCCCTCTGAGAGGACCAATGCTCGACACACACTACCATCACTACTTTGTGGACCACAACAACACCCCCACACACTACCATCACTACTTGGTGGACCGCAACAACACCCCCCACACACTACCATCACTACTTGGTGGACCACAACAACACCCCCACACACTACCATCACTACTTGGTAGACCACAACAACACCCACACACTACCATCACTACTTGGTGGACCACAACAACACCCCCCCACACTACCATCACTACTTGGTGGACCACAACAACACCCACACACACTACCATCACTACTTGGTGGACCACAACAACACACCCACACACTACCATCACTACTTTGTGGACCACAACAACACCCCCACACACTACCATCACTACTTGGTGGACCACAACAACACCCCACACACTACCATCACTACTTGGTGGACCACAACAACACCCACACACTACCATCACTACTTGGTGGACCACAACAACACCCCCACACACTACCATCACTACTTGGTGGACCACAACAACACCCCCCACACTACCATCACTACTTGGTGGACCACAACAACACCCCCACACACTACCATCACTACTTGGTGGACCACAACAACACCCCACACACTACCATCACTACTTGGTGGACCACAACAACACCCTCCCACACTACCATCACTACTTGGTGGACCACAACAACACCCCCACACACTACCATCACTACTTGGTGGACCACAACAACACCCCCCACACACTACCATCACTACTTGGTGGACCACAACAACACCCACACACTACCATCACTACTTGGTGGACCACAACAACACCCACAAACACTACCATCACTACTTGGTGGACCACAACAACACCCACACACTACCATCACTACTTGGTGGACCACAACAACACCCACACACACTACCATCACTACTTGGTGGACCACAACACCATCCACACACACTACCATCACTACTTGGTGGACCACAACAACACCCTCCCACACTACCATCACTACTTGGTGGACCACAACAACACCCACACACTACCATCACTACTTGGTGGACCACAACAACACCCCCACACACTACCATCACTACTTGGTGGACCACAACAACACCCCACACACTAAAATCACTACTTGGTGGACCACAACAACACCCCCACACACTACCATCACTACTTGGTGGACCACAACAACACCCACACACTACCATCACTACTTGGTGGACCACAACAACACCCCCACACACTACCATCACTACTTGGTGGACCACAACAACACCCCACACACTACCATCACTACTTGGTGGACCACAACAACACCCCCACACACTACCATCACTACTTGGTGGGCCACAACAACACCACACACACTACCATCACTACTTGGTGGACCACAACAACACCCCCACACACTACCATCACTACTTGGTGGGCCACAACAACACCACACACACTACCATCACTACTTGGTGGACCACAACAACACCCCCACACACTACCATCACTACTTGGTGGACCACAACACCACCCCACACTACCATCACTACTTGGTGGACCACAACAACACCCACAAACACTACCATCACTACTTGGTGGACCACAACAACACCCCCACACACTACCATCACTACTTGGTGGACCACAACAACACCCACAAACACTACCATCACTACTTGGTGGACCACAACAACACCCCCACACACTACCATCACTACTTGGTGGACCACAACAACACCCCCACACACTACCATCACTACTTGGTGGACCACAACAACACCCACAAACACTACCATCACTACTTGGTGGACCACAACAACACCCCCACACACTACCATCACTACTTGGTGGACCACAACAACACCCCCACACACTACCATCACTACTTGGTGGACCACAACAACACCCCCACACACTACCATCACTATTTGGTGGACCACAACAACACCCACACACTACCATCACTACTTGCTGGACCACAACAACACCCCCACACACTACCATCACTACTTGGTGGACCACAACAACACCCCCACACACTACCATCACTATTTGGTGGACCACAACAACACCCACACACTACCATCACTACTTGCTGGACCACAACAACACCCACACACTACCATCACTACTTGGTGGACCACAACAACACCCCCACACACTACCATCACTACTTGGTGGACCACAACAACACCACACACAAAAGGTGTCTGCTGGAGCTAGATGTGACAAAGGCTGTTGGGCCTGATAGAATCTCACCATGGATACTAAAGGAAGGTGCAGAAGCACTAAGTGTGCCACTCTCTATGGTGTATAACAGGTCACTGGAAACAGGAGACTTACCAGAAAGTTGGAAGACAGCTAACGTGGTCCCAATATACAAAAAGGGTGACAGGCAAGAGGCACTGAATTACAGGCCAGTTTCCTTAACTTGTATACCATGCAAGGTGCTGGAGAAGATCGTGAGGAAAAGGCTCGTAGAGCATCTGGAGGGAAATAACTTTGTAACGCACCACCAACATGGGTTCAGAGATGGTAAATCGTGCCTCACAGGTTTAATAGAATTTTATGACCAGGCAACGAAAATTAGGCAGGAAAGAGAAGGGTGGGCCGACTGCATTTTCCTGGATTGCCAAAAAGCCTTTGACACAGTACCCCATAAAAGGCTGTTAAAAAAGTTGGAGCAACAGGCAGGAGTAAAAGGGAAGGTGCTCCAGTGGATAAGGGAGTACTTAAGCAACAGGAAACAGCGAGTAACGGTGAGGGGGAAGACATCAGAGTGGCGAGATGTCACCAGCGGAGTCCCACAGGGCTCCGTACTTGGACCCATCCTGTTTCTAAAATATGTGAACGATCTTCCAGAGGGTATAGACTCATTCCTCTCAATGTTTGCTGATGATGCAAAAATTATGAGAAGAATCAAGACGGATGAAGATAGACAGAGACTACAGGATGACCTGGATAAACTGGAGGAATGGTCTAGAAAATGGCTGCTGAAGTTCAACTCTGGAAAGTGTAAGGTGATGAAATTAGGCGAAGGGAGCAGGAGGCTGAACACAAGGTATCATCTGGGAGGGGAAATCCTGCAAGAATCAAATAGAGAGAAGGATCTGGGGGTTGATATCACACCGAACCTGTCCCCAGAGGCCCACATCAAAAGAATATCATCAGCGGCATATGCTAGACTGACCAACATAAGGACTGCCTTCAGAAACTTGTGTAAGGAATCTTTCAGAACCCTGTATACCACTTATGTAAGACCAATCCTGGAGTATGCAGCTCCAGCCTGGAGTCCATACCTTGTTAAACACAAGACAAAGTTAGAGAAGATTCAGCGGTATGCCACCAGGCTCGTCCCGGAACTGAGAGGATTGAGCTACGAGGAAAGGCTAAAGGAGCTGAACCTCACATCCCTGGAAAACAGAAGAGTAAGGGGAGACATGATAACCACCTACAAAATTCTCAGGGGAATTGACAGGGTGGACAAAGACAAACTCTTCAGCACAGGTGGGACACGAACAAGGGGACACAGGTGGAAACTTAGTACCCAGATGAGCCACAGAGACGTTAGAAAGAATTTTTTTCAGTGTCAGAGCTAGTTAATAAATGGAATGCACTAGGAAGTGATGTGGTGGAGGCTGACTCCATACACAGTTTCAAATGTAGATATGATAGAGCCCAGTAGGCTCAGGAATCTGTACACCAGTTGATTGACAGTTGAGAGGCGGGACCAAAGAGCCAAAGCTCAACCCCAGCAAGCACAATTAGGTGAGTACAATTAGGTGAGTACACACTACCATCACTACTTGGTGGACCACAACAACACCCCCCACACACTACCATCACTACTTGGTGGACCACAACAACACCCACACACTACCATCACTACTTGGTGGACCACAACAACACCCCCACACACTACCATCACTACTTGGTGGACCACAACAACACCCCCACACTACCATCACTACTTGGTGGACCACAACAACACCCCCACACACTACCATCACTACTTGGTGGTCCACAACAACACCCCACACACTACCATCACTACTTGGTGGTCCACAACAAAACCCACACACTACCATCACTACTTGGTGGACCACAACACCACCACACACTACCATCACTACTTGGTGGACCACAACAACACCCACACACTACCATCACTACTTGGTGGACCACAACAACACCACACACACTACCATCACTACTTGGTGGACCACAACAACACCCCCACACACTACCATCACTACTTGGTGGACCACAACAACACCACACACACACTACCATCACTACTTGGTGGACCACAACAACACCCCCACACACTACCATCACTACTTGGTGGACCACAACA